GGTTTTGTCCATATTCCACTTGGGTTTGTTAGGAGAGCACCTCCCTGCTGCAGCCACTGGTGCAGTGGGTTTTGGGAATAGGAGTTGTCATTTTCCCAGCCTAGATGCATTTAACAATTGGTTGCAGCAATGGGTGTTTAATTCTCTTGCAAGCATTTCCAGGCTAGCTATTTAATTTGATTTTTTTCAAACCCTCTTGCTTCTGGAAATCCTGTAATCGAATCCAAGCTCTGTCAATCTAATTAGTTTTGAAGTGCAGAATCTCCATAACTTAGAGACCTAAATAAGCAGCTTAATATGAAAACCTAGTTTCTCTCCCAACACGTAACACCACCATCCTGTGCTCCCCCCCAGAAACTCCAATGCAACTGCTCTCCTATCCCTCTGTTAACCTCCCTCCTCTCTTCCCCGGCCTCTGCCCAGGCTCTTGTCCATGGGGAACTGAAACAACCAGGCTCATCCCACTGCTGCTGTGCTTCAAAGAGCCTTTCATGATGCTGCTTGTGTAAAAGATGCTGATGCTGCTTCAGATGCCAGCGCAGAGCGGGCCGGGGGCGGCTCCTGGTGCTGCGCAGAAGCCGGGCTGGGCAGGGGGGCTGCACTTGGAGACTTCACTGTGACGTGATCAGGCCCTGTGTGTGCTGCAGAGGGGATCACCAGGATTCATGGAGGGCAGGCTGCTCTCTTCTTCTCTTCTTTGATTTGTTGGGTTGTTTTTTTTTTTTGGTTTTTTTTTTTTTTTTTTTTTTTTTTTTTTGTTTCCCAGTAGAAATGATGGTGCAAATAAGAGCAAACACCGGTTCATTGAAGAAGAGTTGTGTGTGTTCTTGGCTGTTTGCTACTCAGCGTGGCCAGACTCCTTAGAAGCTGCAGGTGGTACAAGACAGGTTTTTCTCTGCTTCTCAGCCACTTCTGCTCTTAGATTTCAATTTCTCTTGTTTTGTTTGTGGTTTTAATTATTTGCTTTCACTTGCTGTACTGTGTTGTGTTTTTTCAGTGCAAACCGACCCCAACAGCCTCTCTGTGTTGCTGGAGTGTTTTGCTCATGAAGACCCTGACCTTGCCCTGCATTGGAGCCATGTCCCACGAGGGCCACGCAAGATTTGACTAAAGGCAGCAACTTTCCCACCACAATGAGAAAAGGTTGTTATTTTCTTCTCTTTTGTTAGTCTTCCCCTTTTTTTGTGGCTGTCTGGTTTTCCTGGGACTGAGAGGCCCCACAGCACATCAGTGGGCAGATCCACCGAGATCTCACTTGGCTCCCACAGCCCAAGGTGAAAGCCACGTGGCAGCCAGGCGAGCTCCCAGCGAAGTGAGCCTGGCTCCAGCAGGAGCTGCAGGGAATTTGGGCATTTCTGCTTTGTCAGGAGGTTTCTGGCCGTGAGCGCGTGCCCGGGGGAGCGCGGCTGAGCCGCCGGCCTTGGGGAAGGCAGGCAGCAGGCCGGCTCGCTCTGTAATTGGGGGCAGCAACCAGCTGCCTTTGATGTCTGAGCCGGGCTGAGAAAACCTGATGGCAGACTTCAAAGTCTGTTGCACCAGCTCCCCTGATTATCTGTAGGCTTCTGGCGCGTCCCCCAAGACTGCCAGATTATCCCGGCTAATGCTGTGCTCTTCCCTCTGTCTCTCCAACCCTGCCTGGCGCCAGCCTCCTGCTTTCAAAGCTGCAGCTTCCATCCCTCCCTGTCCTCCTGCCTCTCCACATCACTGTGGGCAGACAGCAGTGGCATTTCTGGGTGGGAGACAGAGCTCCAGAGACCTGTCAATCTAATTAGTTTTGAGGCAGAGGCAGCATTTTTGGAGAGCTTGCCTACAGCCTGTACCTGGCCGTATTCCCCCTCCCCATTTGGTCACAAGAGCAGCCTGAAATGTGGGGAGCTCTCTGCAGCTGCTCTTTGCAAGGCACAGAGGTGTTTACAACCACACAGGCTGAAAACCCCTCCTGTGCAAAGCTGGACTTGCCTGCAACATGGTTTGAGGTCTGATTTCCTTTGGATGGTGGTGTTTGTTGTGACTTTTCAGTGGATGGCTGCAGGCGCAGGAAACCACAGCTTCCCTAACCCCAGGCGCCCAAATGGGGTGAGGGAACTCGTGGGACCCATGTAGCCAGACTGGGATCTGGGTTACAGCCTTTCCCCTGTGCTTGCCTAACCACTTCTGGGTCTCAACAGACTCCTCCCCCTAAAAATAAACACTGATTACTGAGTCACCTCCTTCACCCTCAACAGCTTCCTCCACAGCCTTTCTGCCCTGATGTGGGGCTGAGCCTGCCTTATTTCCATCTCTCCCCAGGCTCACTGCAGTGTGTAAGGTGAATGTCAGCACTTGTCTAGCCAAGAGGTTTCCGAGTCACTGCGGATGTTGCTGATGGCTGCTCTGCTCTTTTAGCAGAGCCTCCACCTTGCTTGGTAACTTTCCATGGTAGCTTGGTAACCTTGCTGTGCTTTTGGTGGCGTTTTTCTGCAAAGCTTCGACCCAAAATGGCTGAGCAACATCCAGTGAGGGCACCTTCGAAGGGATCCAGGGAGAGGCAGGAGAATGAAGGCATGCAATTGAAGATGGTCATCACCAGTGTGAAAGACAAAGCCAGTGGTCTGGGCAACCCAATTTCCAACTTTATGCTCTGGTACATAGCTGTACCCTGCTGAAGTGCATTGAGAGGTGGCCCTGCTGTGGTGCTGGCAGTAGCCAGGCCGTTCCAGGAGCCAGAGGCCAAGAGTGTTTAATCCCTATGGGACTGTGCAGCACTTCAGTTCACCAGGTGGGGCCCTGGGCACATGCAGCACCTGGCTCAGAGGAGAAAAGTCCTCTGCTCTGTGTAGGCACAGGCAGGGACCCTCTGCTATCCAAGGATCATATTTCCTGTCTGGTGTCATGCCTGGGAAAATAGGGCAAGGGAATCTTTCTCCCCATGGATTTGGACTCCCTGATGTGGCTTCTAATGGCAGTGCTGTCTTTGTAAAGAATTCTCTGATCCCCTCCTTTCACCCTGCCCTGCTGTATGTCTGGTTGCTCTGATTTCCCAGAGAGGAAGAGAGTGAGTTTTAGACTGTGCAGCCCCAGGAAGAAGGAACTGTTGGTTTTGTCCACAGAGCATCATTATTGCCAGGGATACAGTTTGGCCAGGCAGTCCTATTCTCCCCAGTTTCTCTACTGCAAATGTGAACTGCGACTCATGCATCATTAGAGCTGCAAGCTTGGAGTTAAACTGTCCCCAAGCGTGTGTTTATCTGCACACTGGCTGTCGGAAGCTCACTGAGGTTGAACTCCAAGTTTCCTTTCCATTTACTCTGTCACTGTAGCAGAGATGCTTTTGATGCTTTTCCCTCCTCCAAAGTGGTAAGTGGGTTGGCTTACTGTCAACAGGATGATCCCCCAGGGCAGTGCTGGCAGTGGGTTGCTCTTGGAAAGCAAACCTCTCCATCCCTTTCCTTCTGAAATGGGGAGGTTTAATCCTGCAGCACGGAATGTAAGCCTACCACAGAGTTATGGCTCTGTCCTGCTGCCACAGGGCACAGACCCTCCTCAGGGTACAGGTGGGATCCTGCAGGGACCTCTGCCTGCTGACACAGCCTGTCCCCTGGTCTGGATATGGTTTTCTGAGGAGCCGATGAGGAGCTGGATGATGGAGGGTTGAGCCTTGCAGCAAGAGGCCTCTGCCTCCACCTCCCAGCCTGTCATATGAGTTGGTTTTATAAATGGGAAAAGGAGGGACCTGGTGTTTGTTTTGGGTTACATGAATCTCATTCCCTCTGGAAGCCCCCTGGGATCTAGCAAGAGGAGCTGTTTTATGGTTGGATTTTGCTTGTGAATCCCTGAGCTAATTAAGTCATTCAGTCAATCCCTCTGGCAGCAGCAGGAGCAGCATGGCTCAGGGATAAATGCTTTGTGCCACCTGGGGAAAAAAAGCCCAACAACCCCAAAAGAAAGAAAACAACCCCACCCCCAAAAATCCCCAAAACCAAAAAAAAATCTCACCAAACAAAAAACACCAAACAAATAATTTCAGCAGTGCCTCTGAACCCATCTCTAGTGTTTTGGCTACATGCCTCAGAGACTGGGTTTTCCCTGCCCAGGATGTGGCCCTGGATGACCCATCATATCCCAGGACACCCCTGGCACCTGCCAGCAGGAGCCAGCAGCATGTCCCAGGCAATGCAGCCACAGCACATGTCTCTGGGAATGTGCCAGAGCCCCTGGGACTGCACTGGAGCCTCCTGACCTCAGCCCTCCAATGCAGCTCCCCATGGTCCCATTGCTGCTGCCAGAAGTGTTGGGCCAGGATCTCCCACATCCATGGGATCTGCATACAGGATAGAGTTCCTGGCCAGTTCCTGGCTCTCTGGTGGTCCTTCAAGAACCAACAAGCTGGCTGGACTGGCTGCTATGATCCTCCTGACCATGTGGTGCATGGACTGGTGGGGGTGCTGTGGGAGGGATGCCCCACTGGGGACACTGGAGTGGGGAGAGCTTGATCAGCCATCTTCAAGGAACACTGTGCCACTCTAGCCCCTACCTAAGGCATCATGCTGCTGGCTGCAGCCATGGGAAATAAATAGCTGGAGGAGCCTTCATCCATCCCTAGAAATCTGCTTCCATCCCTCCCTGGAATCCAGCCCCTTGTCCCCTCCTCACTGTCAGCAGGGAGCAAGCTACTCCATACAATAAAGGGGAAGGAGTGAGACAGAGGTTTAGCCCATGAGCTGCTGTTGGACAGCAAAGCCACAGCCAGTGGTGCCCACAGGTGGGCATCTGGCATGGATGCAGTGGCAGAAGGGGCTTTGGGCATTGTCACACTTGCCCAGGTGGCCTGGGGACAGGGTGCAGGCTGTCACCTCCCAGAGGGTGTTGCTTTGCTGATGCACCCCGTTCCGTGACTTCTCCCTGCCTTTCTGAGCAGAGGAAACCACCACTGAGAGACAGTTTCCTCCCAGCCTCTCTCTAAATAGCGGCGTGGCTGCCGCCATCGCCCATGAGAACCCACCAGCGCCCCTCTGGGAGAGGATCCAAGCAGAGAGGATTCCCATGGGGCTGGCACAGTGCCTGGCAGCTGCCTTCCTCTTCCTCCTCCTCTTCCTGGGTGAGTGCCCTGCCCAGTGGCTGGAGCTTTCTTGGAAGTGTTGTGGGGAAAGCAGGGCCTGGGGGGCTCAGCCAGTGCTGCTCTGGCTCAGTTGCCATGGGAAGAGGTGCCATCAGCATGTGCTCCTTTTGCTTTGTGTTTTCACTCCAAAATGAGAGCCCAAACCCTAAGAGGGTTTCAGTGAGGGGACATGCACGTCCCTGTTGAGTGGCTGATTGCAGTGTGCGGAGGGTGTTACCTCACTCCCTCTTCCAGGAAATTTCTGAAGGTTTCCTAGGCAGCCCTGTCACCAGCTCTCTTCCCTGGCCACCACAGTTGTTTTTTTGACTCAGGACCCATGTCTTGTGGGCATTCTGCTTGGTGTGCATGCTGAGCTCCAGAGTGAATGTCACTGCTGGGTGCTATATGGAAGGGGAGGGTCTGTGGGTGGCAATCCCCAGACCCTCTGCAAGCAGAAATGGAGGGAGCTCTTGATGCTTCCTTGTGCCCCCTGCCTTCAGAGGACAGTCCTTTCTGACCCCCTCTCCTGTGCTCTCCTCCATTTCTGCCTATGGAGTATCTCTGCAGCATCCAGCCTGCTGCTGACCTCCACTGTCCCGCGTGCCTCAGCTTCTGTGTTTCATCTCCTCCTCTGGCAGTGACCAGCTCTGCACCCCTGCCTCCTGTCCCCCATGCTCCCTGTGCCCCACACTTTGTGCAGGACCCGAGAGCTTGGCCCTCTTCAGTTTAACACACCACAAGCTTCCTCCAGTGCTCTCAGCCTGATTGCTGCTTCCCCTGCAGTGCTGCCTGAGACAGGCTCTTCAGGCAAGAACGGGCTTGGCAGCCCTCTGGCCATGATGCTCTGGCCTCTGTTGTGTGACCCCCCAGTGTAAGAGAGAGAAGAGACAGGAAATAAGTGTGACAGGAGATAAGAAATTTCAGGGCTCTGTTGTCACAGGGCTTGTTTCTGTAACTGCCCCCCTGCAAACACCGTGTGTGCTGACAGGTCTGACCAGTGCCCAGCGGCTGGTGACAGTGCAGGAGGGCCCCCTGTACCGCACGGAGGGCTCCCACGTCACCCTGTGGTGCAAGGTGAGCGGCTACCAGGGCCCGGCGGAGCAGAACTTCCAGTGGTCCATCTACCTGCCCTCGGCCCCCGAGCGGGAGGTGCAGATCGTCAGCACCGTGGACCCCTCGTTCCCCTACGCCATCTACACGCAGCGCGTGCGCGGCCGCGGCATCTTCGTGGAGCGGCTGCAGGGGGACGCCGTGCTGCTGCACATCACCGAGCTGCAGGAGCGCGACGCCGGCCAGTACGAGTGCCACACGCCCAACACCGACGAGAGGTACTTGGGCAGCTACAGCGCCAAGACCAACCTCACAGGTGGGCCCAGAGTGAGAGCCCTGCTCCCGCTGGGACAGGTCACTGCTGTCCCCACAGGGACATCTCATCTGTCAGAGGGACACTGGGGAAAGGGGTGATGAGTGGGGCTGAGGTAGCTATGTCAAGATATCCATCACCTTGCGTGTTCTCTGGTCTGAGGAACGTTTGAAGGAGCTGGGGCTGTTTAGCCTGGAGAAGAGGAGGCTTAGAAGTGACCTTATTGCTCTCTACAACTTCCTGAAGGGAGGTTGTAGACAGGTCAGTTCTCGGGGCTTTAGCTGGTCAGAGTGACCCTGAGATGCATTAGAAAGTCTCTTTTCCCAGCCCAGCGGTTGAAGAAGGAGTCAGAACTCTTCAGTTCTCGGTCTCAAGGTTGTTTTTTGTTCCTTATCTATAAAATTCTTTCTCCTGGCCTGCCAAGATCTGCTCAGAGACAGAGGCACTCTGCCTGCCCCCGGGGCGGTGTTATCTTTTTATACTAAAAACAACGTGTACAATATTTACAATTACTTTCCAATACCTATCCCCTATGTTAGACAGTGAGCTTCTACTCTAAACCAATCTAAAAGTGCCAACATCACAGCAGAACATGGAGGCCAAGAAGGAGAAAGGCTGGACACGCCCAGATCCCTCCATCTTGCCCCCTGAACCCCCATTCCAAAAACCCCCAAAAAATCCATTTTTCCACCCTGTGACAAACTAATTATTATTCTAATTATACTTTTGTGGCTTGTAGATCTTCATATAAGGTTGGTAACTTTTTCCATGGGTCATAATCAAAGACACAGGCGTCTTGGGCTCTGTACCAGGGTGTCTGAGCCCCCTGGCAGGGATCCTGGCAATCCAGGACAGCCAGAGGGATGTCCTGAATTCCAACAGTCGGTCTCTCCCACGGGGCAGCAGCTGACAGAACCAGAGGACACAGTCTCAAGCTGCGTCAGGGAAGGTATAGGTTGGGTATTAGGAAAAAAATTTTCACTGAAAGAATAATGAAGTACCAGAATGCTCTTCCCAGGGAGGTGGTAGAATCACCATCTCTGGATGTGTTTAAAAAAAGACTGGATATGGCTCTTGGTGCTATAGTCTAGTTGAGGTGTTAGGGCATAGGTTGGACTCAATGATCTTAGAGGTCTCTTCCGACCTCATTATTCTGTGATTCTGTGGTTATTGCCTCCCAGCCAGAGCAAGGGGAGGAAAAGGAAGCCTCTGCTCTCCCATGGCCTGACTTCAGCTCCTGACACAGACACAGCGTCTTGCAGCTGAGTGCTTGGGAAGGCAGGAGTTCCCAGGCTCTGTGGGTATGGGAATTGACCCAAGTAGGATACTCACAGGTGGAGGGAGGTAGCAGCTCCTGCAGAGCACTGGGGAGGGAAGGCAATGGGGTGGAGATACAGAGGGAAAGGCCCAGCTGTGAGCCCACTGAGTCTACACGGTGGTATGGTGCTTCCACTTGGTGTTCAGCCCTGTTTTCTCCTTCATCTTGGTGTTGCACCAGTCTGCATTTGGGACAATGAGGGGATGGGTTCTAATCTCCTTGGGGTTGCCTAATTAAGAGGGCACTGTAAAGAGTGAAGAGGGCACTGTAAAGAGATTGACTGTTTCTTTCTTGTTTGCTGAGGTTTTAGTCCCTTCACACCTCAACACAAGGTGATGGAAGCCTTGTCAGTCAGCTACAGATTCTTCTCCTGTGCTGTCAGCTCCCTTAGGCCCTGGTTGCAGATTCTTGGGAGTTGTCCTATGCAGGGACAGGAGCTGGACTCAGTGACTCTCATGGGTCCCTTTCAACTCAGGATATTCTGTGATTCTGTGTTTCTCCCCCTGCTCAGTGATTCCAGACACACTCTCGGCTTCCATGGCACCCCAGGCCCTCAGTCACATGGAAGGGGATGTGGTGGAGCTGACCTGTGAGGTGTCCAAGGCCACTGCCCAGCACACCCATCTCTCAGTTGGCTGGTACCTTCTTCAGGGAGCAGGAGAGCAGCCTGCCAAGGAGATCCTCACCCTCTCCAAGGACTTCATCCTGAAGCCAGGGCCCTCTTATGAGCAGAGGTTTCTGGAGGGGAATGTGCAGCTGAACAAGGTTGGGAACACCACGTACAAGCTCATCATCAGGGGAGTGAAGCCATCTGACCAGGGGCAGCTGTACTGTGAGGCAGCCGAGTGGATTGAGGATCCTGACAAGACATGGAAGGACATCTCCCGCAACCAAACTCAGAGGACTTGGCTGGCAGTTTTGAGCCGGGGTAAGACCTTTTACAAACTAACTCACCTGTTGGCTCCAGCTCCCCTGTGCATTCCAGGCTCTACAGCAGCAGATTTCAGTGCCCCTTCACCTGCCCGTGCCGCAGCCCAGGGACACACTGGTGGGTCTGGCTGGGCACTGAGGGGTTGGGCTGGGCTGAGCCCAGGGCCATGGCAGCCCTGGCTCAGGAGCTGCTGGTGTTTTGGCTGCTCATGCAGCTGAATCCCCGATGCCAGCAGCAAGGCCACAGCCTCACAGACCCATGTGAGGTGTTAGCAGAGGGCACAGCGTGTGCCCACAGCAGCCTGGATGGATCCTTGGCAGTCCTAACTCCAGAGTGTGGAAAACAGGGTTGTTACGCTGCCTCGAGGCTCTTGTGGCCTTAAAAAAGTCAGCTGCTTGTCACTGTGCCTCAGCAGAGGCATGGAGGGACCCAGGGATGGGCTGTGTGTGCTGCACAGCTCTTGTTGGGGGTGGCTTGTCTGTCCCCGCTGCCACAGCCTCTGCTGTCTGTGCTCCCTCACCCTGCTCTTCCCCCAGATGTGTGTGAGTAGCCGTGCCCAGGGGAAGGCAGAATCTCTCTCTCTCTCACCAGTAAGGTAAGCTTTAGCTCAAAGCTGCCAAGACAAGGCTGTGGCTAGTTGGTGCCCTTTAACACAGGGTGCAGTAAAATGGGAGCAAGTCTCCCACTGAAGCCCTGCCTGTGGAGGTGGTGTACCCTGTCCCCACTGCTCAGGGCGGGTGGAGGAGGCCTCAGAGCAGAGCTGGGGCAGTGAGGGGAACTGATGTCCTGTGGGAGGGCAGTGAGTCAGAGCAGGAAACCAAAGAGCAGACGGGTGAGAACTCAGCACTCTGAAAGTGCCTCAGGGGAGCAAGGTATCAGGAGGAGGGGGAGGGAAGTGTGCTCTCTTGTCACTTTGTCTCCTGAAACCTGAGTGGGTAAGCTTTATTCCCCTCATTGTGCACTGTTTGCAGCAAAGGTTTCCAAGTCTGCTGCTGCCTGGGGAGCAATGGCAGTCAGTGCACTTCTGTGCATCCTCTTGTTGAGGAGGGCTTGTCATGACTGGTAGTGCGTGGATTCAGGCATCAGTGCCATGGGATTGTTTAGAAACCCTGTCAGAGTTTGATATTTGTCCTGTGGTAAGTGTTAAAGGGTGGTGAGAGGACCTCATGGTGGCAGAGTTGGTGCTCCTGGTATTGCCATGGTGGGACCGCAGTGGGTTTGCAAGCCCTCCATCAAATTTGCAGGGCTGCTTTCCTCCTCCAGCACCCAGTGGGGGAACCCAGGGCTGAGCACCCCATCACTCTGAGAGCCATCAGCCACTCTGACCATGGCTAGCTGCTCCAGGGGCTTCTATAAACTCTGCAGCAAATGTTTAGGAATGCCAAACATATCTGCAGCAGCTGGGATTCCTGTTCCCAAACTGTTTATGAACCAGTGTTTAAATTCACAGGGTGCTGTGCTTTAGGTAAATTATTTGCTGTGCTTTAGGTAAATTATTTGAGCTCTTCCAGTTGTGGTTTGGGAGCTGCTCTGTTTTCCTTCCAAACTACAGCACATAACCTTTCCCGTGTTTTGAGACTCATGGGGCACCACAGTGACCCAGGGACACAGTGGTGTGAGCCAGGGAACGGGGGCTCAGTCCTTCCTCCAGGTTTTTGGCCAAGTCAGTGCTTTGTGGGGTCATGGCTCAGGGTTTTGGGGTACCCAGTGGGTCTCCTGCTTGCAGCCACTGTCCAGCCAGGTTGGTGCCAGGAGTGCCTGGGGAGGAAGGTGAATGCTACCATAGGACCCAGAGATGGGGTCCCTACCTCAGACACAGCTGACTGACTGCCCAAGAGGGTCTGCCAAGGGGAAGATGACTTCAGGTTCCCCCTGTCACTGCCTTCTTTGCTCAGCACCTACTGCTAATTGGTATGGGGAGCAGGATCCGCCTTCTCTTTTTTCCTTCCTGCCTCCCCATGATGTGATAAGTCTTGAAATTTCTGCTTTCTGTAGGAACTTAACTCAAGTCCTCTCCAGCTTGGAGAGCATCTCTTGCCCACAATCCACAGTAGCCACTGGGGGTTTCAGCATGCAGGAAGAGCCACAGTAGATTCAGACAAGCCACTTGAAAGCCAGCCCTTCATACACCTTTTTCTATCACAAGCAGCATAGTTAAAACCACCACTGTGATAAAAGCCCTTTGTGCCCCTTTTTGGCTTACAGGATAGGTGTTCCATGAGGTAAAACAGCTCCAGGAGGTGAGGCAGAGCAGCACCTGCAAAAGCTGACGCCTCTGAGTTAGGGCAGCCCTCAGTTTGGACGTCTGAGCTGAGCAGGGGGAGGCTGTGGCCAAAGGCTGTCCCAGTGAGTGCTCTGTTGGGTTTATCTGCTCTAAAGGGGGGAGCTCAGCTCCCCAGGGCTCTGGCTCTTCCTCCACCTGCAACTGCTGCTTAGTGCCCAGAGCTGGCAACCCTCTCCCCAGGGTCCAAGTTTTCCATCCTGATCACTTTTCTTATGAAAAAAACCCCCACATTTTAACAGAGAATTCCCTCCTGCTGCCCTCTGCAAGGCCACTGGCGCTGCCAGGCAGGAGGGAAGCATGGGCAGGGCCACCCACCACCCTCCTTGTTTTTTGGTTGCCCACAGGCACAGACCTCTCCGTGGACCTCACTGCCGCTGAACCCTCCCTTTCTGAAGGGGACAGCTTGCAGCTCAGTTGTGTGGTGGAAGCCCCAAAGAGCAGCAACTTCAAAGTGGTCTGGCTCCTCAACAACAAGGAAGTGGCCAGGGTTGACCCCCATGGGGTGTTGACCTGGGAGGAAGAATACCAGGAGAGAGCCAGGCTGGGGCAGCTCCGAGCATTCAAGCCAAGCAACACAGTTTATGTCCTCACCATCTCTGAGGTGGGGCTGGAGGACAAGGGTACCTACCAGTGCTCTGTGTCAGAAATGAAGACTCCTGGGGACTTGCAGAGCATCCAGACTGTTGTGTCATCAGGCATCCAAGTCGACGTGAAGCCAGTAGGTTAGTAAAGCCTAACAGCTGCTCTGCTGGGTGAAGTCTGCAGGATCCTTGACTGGGAAATGCTTTAGGTCTGGCCTCATCTTGACAAGGGCAGCAAGAGTGTAAATATGCCATAGTTTTTGATAGATAACGGGAAAAGCATTTGCTTTAGCACATATTAGCATGACAGACACATTAGCTGTCAACAAAGTGTAAACCTTTAGTCCAATCTCTTCACAGTAAGTTTTGGGGCAAATGGGTAGAATTCTGAGGAGTCTGGGTCCTCTTGTATCTTTGGTACTGAAAACTGTGAGCAACATCTGCTGCTACTCCTGAAAATCACAGGAAAACCCAGCAGAACAGGCATGTCTGGGGAGGGGGATCATTGCCATTTCCATCAGGGTACTCTCACTGTTTTGGATGGATGATTTGTGAGAAACCACTCTAACAAAAGTGTGTAGGAGGCTCTTGGTTTCCTTGTCATAGCTAGATAATGGTTATTCTGATGTAGCAGGTTATTCTGATGTGCCTGCTGGGACTCTGTTTCTTAACTCATTCTTTATGTATCTGTGTCCCAAGAAAGACATAAAACAGAAAGAAAAAAAAAACCAAAACAAAAAAAAAAAAAGAAAACCAACCAAACAAAACAAAAACAAAACCAAAAAACTGCAATCACAAAGCTTTCTCCAAATTTATATGAAAAGGCTGGTTGAAAATTTCAGGCAATTCTCCAATATCAGTGAAGGGGTATTGGGGACAGCTAAAGGTGATACAGAGACTCTATCATCAGAAGGCATGCAAAACCACTTTTTTATTAGAAATCTACAGTTCTTATAGAAACAATGGTGGACTTAAGACCTGATTGGCCTTTAGGAATCTTCTCTCACCCTATTGGTGAACTATGAATAGCACATTCTGGAGAACCATATCTATAAACAATGGTTACAGAAAGAGAGATAATAATTGTTTGAATTATTTCCTCTAAGTTTCTCACAGCTTCTACACAGCCTCCCAGGATTTTCCTGGGAGAAGCAAGTCTCTCTCTGTTCAGAGGATATGTAATTACTACACCCCAACTCCTCTTCTTTTCCAAAATCAAGATCTGGTCTTCCATGTAACGCTAGAGTATCTCTGGCTTTTCCTAAGGAGCACAGCATCCCAACGTGGTCACTGTCATTTGCAGAGATCCACCTGCGCCTGTCTGTGTCCACCAGCACCCCACGGGTGACAGCAGGAGACGCCCTGGTCCTGCACTGTGAGGTGCAGGGAGCCACCGGCCCCGTGTCCCTGCGCTGGTGGCACCTGCCACCGCAGCAGCCGGGGCACAGGGAGCTGGTGGCCGCCATGGAGCAGGATGGTGCCCTGAACCTGGGCAGCGCCTACCGGCATGGAGGGGCTCGGGGGAGCCTCAGGCTGCAGAAAGAGAGCTCTGGCACCTTCACCCTGGTGATCCCCAGCACGCTGGATGAGGATGATGGCGGGCAGTACCGGTGTGAAGCCACGCAGTGGTCCCGAGGCCGGAACTGGACAGGCAAGGGGGAGGCAGCGGTGATGGTCAGCTCCATAGGTGAGTTCAGCTGTCCCTGTTTCTGGGTGGGAGAAGTGGGTGGATCTCAGGTTCTCTGCTGGTCAGAGTGACTCTGAGTCAACCAAGGAGTCAGGATTCTTCTATTCTCATTCTCAAGGCTGTTTATTATTTCTTATCTCTAACATTCTTTCTCCGACCCACCAAGGTTTGTCTGGCAGGTTGGGTTCAGGCACACTGGCTGCCCTCAGAGGTGGTGTTATCTTCTTATACTAAAAACTACGTGTGCGTTATTTACAATAACTTCCCAATACCTATCACCTATGTTAGACAGTGAGTTTCTACCTTAAACCAATCCAAAAGTGCCACCATCACCCAGAACATGGAGGCTAAAAAGAAGAAGGAAGGAGGACAGGGTACGTTCAAATTCCTCCATCTTGGGACCTCGAGCCCCCATTCTAAAACCCAAAAAAATCTATTTTTCACCCTGTAACAAACTATTATTCTACTTAAACTCTCTTTGGTAATTGTTTTTCCATGGGTCAAAATCAAAGGCACAGAGGTCCTGGGCTCTGTGACAAGGTCTCTGAGCCCCTGGGCAGGGGCTCGAGTCCTCCAGGACAGTCAGAGGAATTTCCTGGGTTCCAACAGGTGGACACATCAGTGGGACATGGGCCTGCTTGCTCTGAGCTCTGCTGCTGCAGGGTGACCTAGGGCTGACCACTTGGCCCTGCAGTGCTTCAATTTTCCCATTTCTACCAAGATGCCAGAGTCCTCCATGGTGTGTTTTGGGAGAGACCAGCAGGAGACAATGGCTAAAATGCTCAGGGACCTGAGGGGCAGTATCTTGCCCAGCAGGCCTGTCTCCTTAAGCTGGAATACAAAATATCTGTTCTAGCAGCATAATTACTCTCAGTAATTAAGTTCCACAAAGCTACTTGCTGAATTGTCTGGTGGCATTTATCAGAGATACCCCCTGGTGCTGGCCTCTGATTGCTTCTCCTGCCCTCTGAGTGCAGAGCTGCTCATCTCCATGGTGTGCAGTGACCATGGCCTTCCTTCTTGGGAAAGGAAGGGTGGCGGTGGGATGGCACAGGGCAGGACTTGTGTCCCCATGTCAAGGGCAGGATTTGTGTCCCCAAGCCAAGGGCTCTCTCCTCCTGAGCAGGTCTGGGTCTGCAGGCCACACTGAGAAGCCGAATTGCTACGGTCAGTTACGGGCAGAGTTTTGAGCTCTTCTGCCAGGTGGGTGCCAGCTACGCCCTGGAGGAGGTGCCGGTGTCTGTGCGGTGGCGTTTCCAGCCCAACCCGCCCACGAGTCCCTTACAGGAGCTGGTCCAGGTCCTTCCCAATGGCACCGTGCTCTGGGGGGCAGCACAGCCACGCTTCCAGGGGAAAGCCCAGCTGGCGAAGACTGACACCTCCTTCAGGCTGCACATCCACAGCGCCTTGCCTGCCAACGAGGGGACGTACCAGTGCGAGGTGGAGGTCTGGAGGAGGAACGTCCTGCCCCTGGGGCGGCCGGCAGCCAGCACCAGCTCCAATGCCGTGGGAATAAAAGTGGTGCTGCCAGGTAAGCAAACCCTTCAGCAGAGGTCTCTCCTGCAACTTTAAATCCATTAAATGTCACCGGGGGCAACCAGGGCCCCTGATGTCTGGGGCGACCCCAGGGCTGCAGGAGATGGTGCTGCCTGTTCTGGTGCTTCCTCGGCACCTGACAAAACCTTGGAGGCAAATTTGGTGCTGGCAAGTGGCAGTATCTCTTTGTTTGCAGATTACACCAAGCATATAGGGATCAGCTTTGCCACTAGGATTTTGAGCCTGGTTTCTGGGAAGAAGCAGAGCCCCCCAAGAAGCCCAGCTGAATGTTTGGGGTGCAAGGTACACCCCATAATGTGGGTTTCTGGGAGGCAGTGGAGAGAGACCAGCCCCTGAAGCTGATGCTGGGGTATGCCTGTGTTCCCTGACCAGAATATTGAAGGCATGCTGAGAAAGCACCAGGCCTCTCTGCCGGGCTGGGAGCCAGCACTGAGCCTCAGGGTGCCGGGACTCCGTGGGGAGGCATCTCCTGCCAGGCACAGCTGGGCTGCACAGCCAGGGCCCTGCCCAGGCTTCCCTTTTATGGCCACCCCTGCAGGCCGGGGCTGCGCTGCCATCCCTCCTGCCAGCATCCCGCTGGGAGCCTCATCCTCTTATGGAAGAGAGATGTTGCAAGCAGACAGACCCCAGCCCCCAAGGCAGCACCACGGAGCCAGCGTGCCCTGCTCACAGCTGGGGCTGCTGCAGGAACTGCAGGGTTTGTCCTGGCCAAAGCCTCCGAGTGAGCCTCTGCAGGCAGGTGTGAGAACATGGGCTGGTTTGGTTTTTTGCCCTCGTGTCTGTTCTGCCAGCAAAGGAGAGCTCTTGCTCTTTTTTTCTTTTTTTTTCCTTGCATTAAGTGCTCCTTCCTCTAAAATCCTTGGATTTTCGGAATCACAGCCCAGTGAACTGAAATTATGCATTTTTCATGTATTTTAACTGATGGGTTTGCTGTGGCATAGGCTAATACATTTCCTACCCTGTCTGGGCTCTTTTCTCTGGTGCTCTCTCCTGTTCCACTGTTACTGATTCCTCTCCTCACCCCTGTGGAGCTGACTGCTGGGATGCTCTGGAGCTACAACCAGCTGGGGCAGGGTGGCACTGAGGCAAAGGGGTGACAATAATCAGCGTCTTTGGGCACACATCTCTAGTGTAAATGGCAATGAGCAGGTGTAATTGCAGAGCATCTACACAGAGGAGATGGCAGCAGCATGAGACTACAACATTTGGCTCCAAATGTGTTGCAGCTGCTGCTGGAGACTGTGACTCCATAAAGAATGGTGGGAACTGGGAGAGGGTGATGCACAGTGGGAGGTTCCTGCTGCCTCTAGTGCCACCTCTCTTGGAAAGGCAACACAAGCCAGTGGAGGATATTTGGGAAGGTTGGGAAGTGTGGGGAGGAAGCTGGCTCAGGCAGCAATAGGGTTGAGGGGAAGCGGCAGAAAATGAAGCTGCAAATCATGAAAATCACCAGCCTGCTTCTCCTCATATAAAACCTTATAGCTGGAGCCTGCAGAGATACTGGAGTGCTTGACTTTTTGCTTCAGCACTTTGTTTACTATTTGATGTCAGTTGGTGCTTTAGGAGTTTACATGTTGCTGTGGTCCAGAGACCATCTTCAGCTAGGAAGGACATCCATGAAAGATTATAGCAGACAGGGAAGGAGGACAGATCTTTTCAATTTTCAACATCTAAGGTGGGATCTCATAATCAGTGCTCCATGATCCTCTCAGTGCAGCTGAGTGGGCTTTTTCGTTTTTCTCCAGTGGAGCTGGAGTGGGCATTTTCACCTTGTGTCCCCCAGGCCAGCACCCCATGTGGGCTGTGTCCCTCTGCCTGCTCCATTGCTCCTGGGCCAGGAGCAAGCCAAGAGTCAGCAGGCAAGGTTCACAGGGAGATGGGTGCTGAGGTGCTCAGCTTGGTTAATTAAATTGAAAATGAAAGGGAGAACAGCATCATGGCTTTTATGTGAGAAAGGAAGAGGCAGGCAGCTCCTCTGCCCTTTTGGTAAATGATCTTTAGCAGTAGAGAGAGAGGAGACCTGGAGTTAAAACAAAGGGGCTTTGCAGCAAATGCTCTGCTTCCTCTTGAGGTGATCTCTGAGAGTGTAACAGCAATTTTCCTCATCAAAATCAAGCACTCAAGGCTTGGTTCCTGTGCCTCCTCTCTGAGATCTCGTAGCTTTTCCTTCTCTGGAGCATTCTCTGCCCATGAGTGGGTGCCAGGCTAGGCCATAGTCAAGCAAGACCCTGCCTGCCCCTTTGTTCCCTGGCACTTCACTGACTGGCTGAGGGGTATCCTTGGTGCTGAGCAGATGAAGTTCAGAATTAAGTGTCTTATTTTTTCCAGTGCGGTCAGGTCACCTGTCACAGAAACACAGGATGGTGGAGATTGGCAGGGACTTTTGGAGGTGACCTGGTCCATCTCCCTGTGCAAGCAGGGCCACCTAGAGCAGGCTGCCCAGAACCCTCTCTAGATGGCTTTTGGGTATCTTCAGCATCCCCCTCTGAACATTTGTGCTTCCAGAGAGCCAGCTCTGGGATGAGTGTGCTTTTAAATACTCAAGTGTAAGACATCAACTGGCATCTAGTTCCCAGGTGTGCTCAAGTCAGTGTGGTTTTCGTGGTGGATCTGATAAATTTGCACAGTGTCCTAATTAGGGTGACTGCTGTCCCCTCTCTTCTGCTTTTTGCCCACGCCTGTTTCTTCAGAGCAGCAAATGCACACTGTGAAATGCAGGACAGCACTGTGATCCCTTGGGAACATCCACCTCCCATTAATCCCAGTGAGTGTTGCTGTGGAAATCCTCATCACTGAATCGAGACAATAAGCAGATACTGGGACTTGTGCAAGTGCCTCTCTGGAGGAGACTGCCAACCTTTTGGTGAAAATGTGTTTGTCTGCAGAGAGAAGGAAGAGTAATGGGGTGCAAAGAGAAAAGAATAAGCAGGGAGGTTTTGTTGGCAGATTTCACAGAAGCAGAGGCTCTACAGGGATGTAAAGAGATATCAGTTGGGATATTTTGCTTTGACCAGTCTCAAGAGAGGTAGTGAAGGGCTCTGAAGTGGATTGCTTGAGTTTTGAGAAGAAATGCTTGAAGGAAGGGGAAATGTGAAAGCTTTTTCCTGCAGTGTCCTCCTTCCCCCTCAGCCCCTGTGGGAGAAGCCACAGCTCCCTCCTGTCCCAAAGCCCTCTCCACCACCTGCTGCCATCACATCCCTTGGGATTGGGAGGGGAGTGTCCTGCTGAACCTGTGGACAAGGACAGGGGTCTGAGGCATTCTGAGGGACCATCTCAATGTGAACTCTGCTGCCTGTCCCCAGACCAGCGCCCAGGGACTGAGCCTTAAGGGAGCTCAGTTGTCCCCAGCCTCTGTGGCAGAGGGTGTCCTGCTGCTCAGCTCATAGGCAAGGAAAGTGCTAAGAATGGAAACTCAGCCTACAGTCCCTTAAAACCCTGATGGTGTCTCCTGGTGAGTAATTTCTCCCTACCCAAGGGTGGATACCTGTGTGTATTCCTTCCCCTGACTGCTGAGCATGGAGGGGAAATGCAGGTGGCTGAAGGACCTTTAAAGGTATGGATTTGCAGCATTTTCATTGCTGGAGGAGAGGTTCCAGCAACAGGTGATGTGCTGTGGGAAGAGGTTCCCTCAGAGCAGGAGCAGCACAGACACATCAGGATCAGGATTTCCCTCTGCCCAAGGCAGCACCATCCCTCTGCTCTCCTCAAGTGCACAGCACTGAACAATCACTGGGTGTGATCACAGGGGTGTGCAGGACTCTGTTGTGTGGTTTTGGGTTAATAACCACAGCAAACACCTGACATGGCAACTGTTAGTGAAACCCACAGGGGCTCTGTAGTCACTCTGTGATAAAAGACACTTGTTCACAGTCTCCAAAGCTGTGGGCTGCTTTTGTCACATATGTGTGAGCCTGCTGATGGGAGCAGTGGTAGAGAGACACATGTGCTTCAGACAGAGGCTTTGCCTCCCAGCTCCAACACAATGGCTGCCTCCATCCCCCATTCCTGCTCCGTGGTCTCCAAGGCACCTCCTCTGCTGCTCTCCTGCCCACTAACACCCAGCTGTGATTCCCTGCTATTGTGTGTACACACAAGGGTGTGTGGATTTGCTCTTTCCCTCCTCCCTCCACCCTCTGCTCCAGCATCCCCTAATGAGCCTTTGTCCTCTGTGTGCCCTCTTCCTTACTCCTCTTCCAGCGTGTTTCTCTCAGCCTTATTCCCCTCCTTGTCAGTATCCTGTACTGGCAGCTGCATCTGGCATGACTGTTTTGTTTCTCCATTTTAGGGAGCAAGCTTCAGGTTGATACGAAAGACAGCTCTGTGGAGATTGCCAGCGGTAACGCAGCCATTCAGTGCAGGATTGTGTTTGCCCAGGAAAATTCACAGTTTGCTGTTACCTGGTACCTCCTGCCTCCTCTGGCAGACACAAAACCCCTGCAAATCCTCAGGGCCAACTACACCAGCGTACTGGAGTACGGGTCTGAATTCAGCTCTCCTGCACTAAAGTCACGATTCCTGAGCCAGAGGGTGTCCAGCAGCCTATTCCAGCTGCAGATTCTCTCTGCAAACGTGGGGGACGAGGGCAGCTACTACTGTATGGTGGAGGAATGGCTCTGGCTGGTGGATGGCTGGTACAAGCTCGGAGAGAGAACATCGGGAAGGACCACGCTGAAGTTCAAACTCTCAGGTGAGCAGGTGTTATCCCTTGTGTAGTGCTGCTGGAGGAGGTTGGGTCAACTTATGACAGGCCCCTGCCAGGCCTCTCCTAAGCTGGCAGGGCTTAGGAAAAGCAGCAGCTCCTGTGTTGGATCAGAGGCTTAGGGATGCAGGAGTTGTCAGTGCCTCTCAAAGGGAAATAGGGAATTAGGAGGATTTACCACATCCTCCCAAGCCAACCGAGCTGCTATTTTTGTTACTGGCAGATGTAGTGGAATGCTTCATAACAAAGTGAATTTTGGCCTTTTTCTTTTCCCTCCAACACCTGGTGCACTTGGGTGGTTGTGCAATGCTGTGAATAGAGAAGCTGCCCTTACCTGGTGCTGCTGAGCATCCTGAAGGAAAACCCCAGGTTTTCCTTACCCTGCAGTACATTGCTGCTAAGGAACAAGACTGGAGGTTCAGCTGCTCTCACCTTAATCACTGCACCTCTGGGGTGCATGGTGGGTCTCCCTGGCTCAGTTCTTCCCTCAATCAGCCTCTCTCCAGCCCTAAATAAAGTGGATCAGAGAATACCAGCTTCCTAAATAGCTTTTGGTCCAAAAGATGCCTTTATCACTTATTTGGAGGGGGTAGGAAGTACTACTGCACAGGGGGCAGAGATGATGGGCAAGGTGGGGGACACAACACCCCAGGGAGAATGAGTCACAGCAGCAAGGGGCCTGTGGGAGGCCATTCCAATCCCTCACACTTTGCTCCAGAAGGTTCCTGTCAGCCTGTGGGTGCAGGCAGAAGTGTTTTTACAGCTGTACAACACCGCAACATCTCTTTCTGCTCTCCCTCTTCCCCCACAGAGCTCAAGCTGCAGATGGAGAAAACCAACGGCAGCATCTCCGCGCGGGAGGGCGAGGAGGCCACGCTGCCCTGCCGGCTGCAGAGCGCCCTCCCGCCCCGCTCACAGCTCTCAGCCACCTGGTTCCAGGTGAAGGGCAGCGGCCGTGACAGTGCCCTGCTGTCCCTGCAGCGCGATGGCACCGTGCAGTACCCCGAGGGGCGCCTGGCAGCGAGGCTGTTCCTGCGCCGCGCCTCCGCCCGCGACTTCAGCCTGACGCTGAGCGGCGTGGAGAGGGGAGATGCTGGGGCATATTACTGCCAGCTGCAGGAATGGCAGCAGCAGGGCGAGGGGAAGGACTGGGCTCTGCAGGCCTTGGCACGCTCAGGGCACACCCAGCTCATCACCATCCCGCCAGGTAACGCTGCTGGGTGCCAGGGGCTGATCACCTCCTCTCCCCAGAGCCGTGCTGCGGCCAGGACCTAAGTGTTTTGGGGGGAAAATTCTTGGTGTGACTTCTCTGGGAAGTCTGTCTAGACTGAGGTCTCTCTAAACTTCACTTTGGGGTGAGTGGGGGCACCTGCTGGGTGCAAAGGCAGTGTCACAGACATGTTTTATGAAAAATCCTTTCCTTAGGATTTTTTTCTCCTGAGAAGCTGAGAGGCCTCAGGAACAAAATGTAAACATTGATTATCTGCTGCTGTGGAATGCAACAGGTGGATCTGTGATTGGTCTCATGTGGTTGTTTCTAATTAATGGCCAATCACAGTCCAGCTGTCTCGGTCAGTCACAAGCCTTTGTTATCATTCCTTTTCTATTCTTAGCTAGCCTTCTGATTAAATCCTTTCTTCTATTTTTTTAGTATAGTTTTAATATAAGATATATATCACAAGGTAGGACTGGATTCTGCATGCAGAAGTTTAAGTAAATAAAAGCACAGGTTTCAGTCAGGTGCATGCAGGGTTTTTAGGAAGGTAATAGGCAGGAGTTGTTGCTGCTTTGGGAAAATAGGAGGCTCAGATCACCCGCATGGAGGAAAAAATCTAAACTGTGAAATCAATCATGAGGCACCCAGCTGAGAGGATCTTGCTCTTGTGCTTGCCTTCAGCTCTGGAGCTGCCATGCCTGAAGCCAGCCTGGGTGCCTACATGAGTTCTGGCTTCTGCAGCAATTCCCAGAACTGAGCAGCATGGAGAGAGTGACCCTGCAGAGCCCTTCCCTCTGCCTGCTGCTCCCACAGCCAGAAACAGGCCTGCTCTCATGACTTTGCACCTACAGCAGAGCTAATCTGGATTTAATTGCACAGAGAGGGACTGACAGCACTTCATCCCCCCTGCTGTCGTGTTGCTGCTGGTATCCATCACAGCTCTCTAGCACGCAAGATTTCTCCTTCATCAGCTCCCTCTATCTCTTGTTACCCATTACTGGTGGAAAAAGCGTTGCTAAAATTGCTCAGTAACTGGTAGTAAATTCTCCTCCAATTTTTGAATAAGTGTTTTTGCCAAGTGGTTTTCATGGTTTTCACAAAAGGCAAAATCTTAGCTGGGTGTTTTTTCTTTCTCTCTCTCTTTTTAATTTTTTTTTTTTTTGGGTGGCCATGTGTGTGCATGTGTGTTCCTCCAGTGATGCAGGTATCTTTGAAGTACCCAGGAGCCTCCACCTCTGCTGGGGAGCTGTTCTGCAGGAGCTGCCAGGGATGAGGATGGTGCTCACAGCTGCCTGCAGCTTGCTGGGGATGAAATACGATAGCAGATCAGCAGTAACAAGGAGGGGCAGATGTCTGGGGGGGACAGGCACCTCCTGATTTGGTGTTCTTTGCTTTTCTCTTATCCCATCTTGCTCAGTGGTGCAGCCTCTGACAGACTTCTACCTCATCCCACGGTCACTGATGTCAGGCAGGGTGTGTTGCTTTTCCTCACTGAGCCCAGTCTGGAATGAGTTAGCAGAAGAACTGGGCTGTTTCTGTTGGGATGTTTCAGATGAACAAGCCAGGGCCTTATCTGACCTCCCCAGACAAGAAATTGAGGCAAATTACCTGGTTTCTCTCTCCCTTCTCCTCAGGTAGCCTGTATGAATTCTTAAAAATTTGTAGCTGTTGAAGATTGAGGGAAAAGTGTTAAGAAAATAGCACTTAGGAGTGAGAAACTCAAACTAGCTTGGGGCCTCACTTTTTCTTTCTTTTTTCCTTCAGAATCAACTGTTTTGTCTAGGATCTGCTCATCCCCACCACTGCTGAACTTCATCTTATACTTACCACTGGTTCTGATCCTTCTGCTGGCCCTTGCTGTCTTCTGCTGGTACTGCAAATTCAGGAAAAGCAAGAAGAGCAACATCACTGGATGGATGATGGAACTGGAAGGGAATGAAGAGGCCAAGAAAACTTAGCTGGTCTGTGGAGGCAGGTGTAACTTGGAGGAGCAGAGCTGGACAGCTGGGGAGGACTGAGTACTTGCAGAGGGGCTTTTTATTGTTTTGTAGTAGCTCTTGCAATAAATCCTTGAAATTGCGTGTTTGCTTTTGGTAGAATGAGGCAGCTTTGGAATTATTAAGCAAATAGGGTTTTCATAACGAGTGTTTCTGTCTTCTAGGTTAGGTACTCACCCATTTCCTGCTCTGTTTGTTGTGGTACATTTGGAGGCCCTTGCAATATGCATCTCCCACAATGGAAGTGGTGTTATTCCTCTGCAGGAATAAGGGGAAAAACAGCTCTTTCTGTGCTGTGACACAAAAGTACCTCATTTCTACTAATTTTAGGTGTCTTGACAAAATCTATGTGGTATCCAGGCTAAAAACCAGTGGTAGAACAGGAAGTGGAATATTGGTGTCCCATTTCAGTCATCACCCTTGCCTTTGCCCAGTCTTTGCTGGGGAAGCTCTTGGACACTGCTCTTTTCACATCCTGAGAGTGCCTGCGTCCAAAGAGCATCACCTCTCCAAAATTACATGTGTCTTCATCCCAAAACCTGTCACAGGAACATGAGGACTGAGCAAGGCTAGCTGGGCATGAAGAAAGTCCAGAGCAGAGGAATCACAGCCATCCACAAAAAACCAAATCCTGTTGACCTAGTAAAAGACTGGCATGGAGTCTTGGATCCCAGAAGGAAGATGTAGACATCAAACCATCTCAGACATGAGCCTACAAAGTTCCAGCTCCTTCCTTTGCTTCTGCTGTAGGAGAAGACAGCATCCAGCCCCTGGCACCTGGGGTATCTGTGGGTCAGGAAGTTGCACAGCTGGGGTCTGGTATTAGACACATCCAGGTTGTCCCATATAATAAAAAAAGCCATGTGTGTGCTTGTGGGGCAGCTCCTCTATACCCTGTTATCCAGCTTGGGCTCACCTTTTCAAGGCTGAGGAGCTCTGCTACCTGAAAAATATCTGGTATTGGGAATGGTCCCAGGGAGCTGTAAGGTCAGGTATCAGGGCAACACTCTGAGCACTGTCCTCAGACCAAAGTAGCTTTATAGAAACCACAGCAGACACAGACCTGCTTCCTGCGACCACAGAGGGATTTGGAGACACCACAGCCCCTCTAGATGACCTGTTCTTTCACTTTCTTTGCAATTAGGAAAGCTGCCTGACTTTATCCTGAAGAACTGGCAGGTGCTTCAGTCCTTTGAAGATGCAGTTTTTGCACACATCTGCTCCTGTTTCCCTGTTCAGCCACCTCTGTCAGTGCTGGCTGCTTCCAGCTCGCTCAGTCTTTCCCTGCAGGATGTTTTCTGGACCCCGTGCAGCTTTTCCCTTTGCTGCCCTGACCCCAGCTGCCTCTCCCACAGCGTGAGTGCTCAGAGCTGCATGTGGGGCTCTCTGCAGAGGTTTCCCCCCTGCCTTGTGGGTTATGTCCTGTTTACACATCCCAGTAGGATGTTTGATTTCCTCTTTGCGTGTGACGGCGTGGCGCTGTTTGCGCTTGGCTCGTGACCATCAGGCTCCTGTCCTGCAGATTTGCTGTCTAGCAGGTTGTGTCTCCACTGTGTGCTCAGGCTGTTGGCTTTTCCTGTCTAACTGCAGCCCCATTTTCATGGGGGTGTTGAACAGCTTTTGGCACCAGTTTGTGGAAGATCCTGCTGTCTGTCTTAGCCCAGTCTTGGTAAAGCTTTAACTCATAGGCCGGTTTCCGTCTGTTTGACAGAGAAGCAGATGCTCCTGGGATATTAAACTCCTACAGGTTTCATGGGAAGTGGTAGGTGGATGAAGGAGAGGAGGCAGGCCACCAAGGGAAGGCTGCAGTGTGAGCTGGCCACCTGGTGCCTGGTTTGTGTTTAGGGGATATGGAAAGGAGATGTAGATATGTAAGGGTAGGAAAGAAAGAACTGCTTTTCTCTATCAACTGTTAACAATAAATCTATGCACGTAGCTTATCTGCTAATTTTGTGCTGTTTATCCAGGTTTTCATTTGGATTGTTTCCTTAGTTTGCCCAAGAATACCTTGGGAGCCTACAAACCTTGGTGAAGTCAAGAATATATGATGCCTGCTGCTTATCCCTTCCCACAAGGTTTTCAGTCTTATTGCAAGGGAGATAGGTAGGTCTGCTTTGGTTTTGTTCAAAACAAACAAAAAAGTAGTGGGTTGTTTTTTTTCTTGCATTCTTTTTAGTACTTTTAAGTACTTTGTCCCTGTATCTCCCTGGGGATTATAGTTAAAAAGATGGTGCTCAGTTTCCACTTCTTTTTAAATATAATTTTGCCCTATTTGCCTCACTTGGTATCTCACACCCTCTTAGATATTACCACAGCAAACTACTAATAGATGGCTTGACAGCCCATTCTTTATGTGGCCTAGGATGAACCTCATAAAACCATCTTTCTAGTCAAAAATCTGAATTATTTAGGTTGCTACTCATTACCAGAGTGCTGGGGACAGCCCCTACCCTACTGTAGCAGCCAAATGTGTGGGTCAATCTCCAAAAGAGCTCTGTGTGAGCTGTCTGAGTGACCTGAGTTTGGTGCACCCCCCAGAATTGTGCTGTCCCCCTCACTCAGCCACCTCAGGAGCCCATGGTGGGTCTGTGGAGGGATCTTTTCTGCCATCTGATTTGCACACAAAAAGCTGCAACACGAGATTGTCGTGTCTGGTGGACTGAGAGAAAAAGGTGGGCAGAGAGAGGGAGGTTTCTCCATCAAGAGGGCGCTTTCTTCTTCTGTGCCATTTTTGCTCAGTTAACCAGAGCATGTAGACATCAAACCAGAGCTCAGTTAACCAGAGCTCCACAAGTAGCAGCTTCCCATTCATGCAGGTGTTAATTTAAGTTTGTAAGTGTGCCTAGGGCCTTGATGAAAGGGTCTGCAAGGAGAATGTGTGTTTTTGCAGCAGTGGGCTTTTCCCCCTATTTTTTCTTCTGGCTTTGCTGGGTCACTGCCAAACCTTTCAGCTAAATGTTTAAGATGTATTTTTTTTTCCATGAGGGAACTTAGAATTGTAACTTATCACAGTAAAACTCCAAAACTGTCCTGTTTTTAAAGACAACAATTCTTTCAGCTGTGGTAAATGCATGAGAAGGGAGAGAGATGTGTGTGCTTTGTGGGACAGGGGGAGGATGTTGATTTTGCTGCTGAGGCTCTTGACAACCTTCACCCACCCCCATCAACACCTTTTGTTCAAATTCAGCTTGTGATATAAATTAGAACAGCTGATAAAATATATATTTAGCTGTTACATTCCCCACCTGAAGGGGAGAAAATGGTGCAGCAGCACAGCAGTGCCTGTGCTGTACCCTGTCCCCCACGTGTGCCCTTGCCCAGGGAATGAATGTCCTGTGTGAGGGCAGCATGTGGCAGGGAGATGCAGGGTCCTTTCACAGTTTTTTAAAGCAGTTTAAAAGGGTTACAGGGCAATGGAGGGCTCGGTCCATGAGGAATTAATCCACTGGGAAGTGGTTGCATGGAGCTATAAAAACAGAAGTGTTGTGCTGTGTGTGGAAGGTTTTCATAGGAAGGTATGGAAAAATGTAAGGCAAGGGGAGAGCAGCACACTGCTGCAGCTTGGATGGATGATGTAAGGGCAGGATGGATGGGAATATAACCCCTGCATTGTGTGTCCTTCCTGGAATGCTCTTATGGCACCTTGCATTTGGGCAGGGAAAAAGCCCGTGCTCAGTGATTTATCCAATGTACAATGGGACAAAGGATCATACCAGTGACTCACCTGCACTGAGGACCTTTTTTGGCAAGAGGGAGGGTGGGTGATGAGCTGGTTGCCGTGCAGGAGCGGAGGGAAGTGGTTTGCAAGCAAGGAGGTAGTTTGTGGCTGATGGCTCAGGGTTTCCTGGCCTGCCCTGCTGCTCTGGGGCAGAGGGCACAAGAGCAGCGTGCTGTCCTGGACTGCCAGGGCAAGGCTGCTGAGCAAGGTTGCCAAACTTTTGATAAATTATTCCAAACAAATGACCTGGAGTTGTCCTGGGATGCCCCCTCTCAAGCAGCATCTCTTAATTACTTTGTATTAACTCTGAGTTGGTTTGGAAATCTGACATTCAGTTTTCTTCCTGTGATAAAATATTTAAAAACTGGAAGTAAAAGAAGCAGTTTTCTTTATGTGCTTTGGTCTCATTTGATGCCATTTTGCATTCCAGCTGGTTCCTGCAGCTCCCGCCTGTTTTGTGTATCCTTTGGCCTTGGCCTTTGGCAACTTAGACAAAGCAGAAGCACTCACAGAACTCTGAACCTTCCTTAGCCATTTAGAAACTGCTGCATTGGATCTTCCTGCTGCTGGATTTTTTTGGTCCTTCTCAAATCACCTGCTCCTCTCTCTTTTCTTCCAGAGGATAATATGGCATTATGTAATTATTGTTATAGTTGCAGTTGCACAGGGCAGGAAAGGAATAATTCCTTGCAGGGCAGAAGCAGCACGGCTGTGAGGCTGGAGGTGAGAAGGATGGATGAGAGGTGGTAGGGTGGAATGTGTCTCAGTTTGCTGCCACAGCAGGCAAGAGGAACCAGCTCAGTGTCCTCTTAGCCAGCTGCACTCCCCAGAAAAGATTCCGCTTGTGGTGGTGTGGGACTGACAAGATTAATGTGTGTACCTGTGCTGTACCTACTCCTTGTAGGGGTGAGAGGAACTTTCATTTCTAGGGCTGTCGACTAAGTGTGAAAATTGACCTGCTGGAGGGAGAACAGGGGTTTTATCATTATTTTAGGCATGAGGGAATTAATGGGTGAATGCTGGAAGCAGTATGGCATACCAGGAGGGGCTGTGACTCCTCCCAGCCCCCTCGTGGGATGCTAATAGGGAGGAGAGGTCCACTGTCCCATTTGAAAGAGAAGGGCCATGACCAATCGATGTTAAATGCGGCGGCAATACCTCACGCGGTGGCCACGGGATAAAAAGGCAGAGAGGCAGCCTGAACTGTAAAGACATTTCATTTCCCTGGTAATGAGGGAGACACACTGTGGCAATGAAACCAGGGAGAGAGAGGCTGCGAGATGCTAATTTCTGCTCCTGCTGCCGCTGCTGCTTTGATCTGAAGCAAATGCCCGTTTGAAATTGCAAACGGATGCGAGTCAGAT